ACACTCTTCTGGGATTCTGTATTTTCTGGCACTGAAAGGAAAGATTTTGTGGCAGCTCAGACTGTTTATCTATCACAGTGTCTGTAGGGGAAGAGATGGCTGTGTCTCACCCATATAACAATCATTGCATATATTTTTGTCTCTAGAATCTTCCTCATGAATAGATAAAGATAGTTATTAATCTTTCACCTCCTTACATTAAACTGATTAATAATTGAAAATATTTTAGAATTATTTAGAATATATAGAATTATGCATATATATAAATTTAGAACTATTTAGCATATGCACATCAAAAAGACAATGACATCACTAATGTAGGTATGATGATTTATAGCTTATTAATTTTAGCTTAATTAAACACGTCTCATGCTTCAGGCTTCTTTTCCTCTTACATCTGTGGTTCTATTGTAAGTAGAATATCATTATTTTTGAGAAAGAAAAATATTGAAATTGTAATTAGAAAGTGGTTATGGATAACAGAATAAAGAATATAATACTAATAACACATTCCAAAAAAAAAAAGTGGTCTGAACTTTGGCAGCTTATGGTTCTAATTTGATAAATCTTTCTGAAATGTGAAAGAAATAGCACATATGGACATACATAAAAAATAATGACACCCAAACAATGCTCACGTTTCTTTTTAATCTTGATGAAGGACATGTATCAATTGTCTGGTTGTCCAAATCTTTTCAGCTCATTATTTCTACAGGATTTTCAGCCAAACTTGGTCAAGTTAGTACAAGACCTTTTTGCTCAGATACATCTGTGCCAGCTCATTAAAAAAGTTTGCTGCTTTTCTGTTTTCAGAGACGAAATGAGTGCATCAGCATCTTGCAATCCCCACAGCTCTCACATACCAAGTATTCTTAGACTCCTGACATGACATTTCCAAGATGATGATAGCTACAAACAACCTACTCAAAATTGATTAGAACTGAACAGTTTGAGGGCAGTTCACAAAGAAGCCATCTGATAGTCAAGGAGAAAAGCACTGCAAGGCAGCATCAGTGTGCAAGTCACAAGAAATGAGAACAAAGCTGACTCAGCAAGCCATAAATGACCTTTCCAAACCCCAAAGATAATGGAAGGCAAGACAGTGCTGTGTGCCACTAACCAGTTTCTCTCTCTCTAACTAAAGGAAGGAAATACTGGTAGTGTTTAAGAGCCACTTCTAAGGATGTCCTCTAACAGAGAAAATTTTGCAGGATTCATTAATTTGGTATTACACAAAATAGTACATTGTATATACTTTTTAGTTTGTTGTCACACTATGCACTGCATTCCATACATTGTAGTTTCCACCTCTGCATCATTTTTGGTAGAGGTAGTAAAATATGAGTCATATCTACTGCCCTAACTGAGCTACTCTGATGGTTAACAGACAGTATAAACATCATCACTGTGGTAGCCTGATACAGGGCTGGACATGGAGCAGCTGAAAAATGAATGAGGCATTTAAGTTGGGTATCTGGAGGTTATCCAGCTGCCCACATCAACAAAAGCTTGCCATTGGTCACAATATCATGGCACCTACTGGTGATCACCAAAAATGAGTGAAAAATAGATAAAGTCTAAACATCTGTTCTTATATAGCCATACATCTTATCTGTTACTGAAGCCAGTAGAAGTTTTAAAAATATTATTCATCAAGGACTTGATTATCAATACCTCTCACAAGCATCCACTAAAAAAGTTAAAATTTGATTTATTTGAAGACTGTTATGTTGGTAGCAACACAAGTAACTAATTGATATTGCAAAGGATATTTCATATCTGATTGCTTGCTTAGTCAGAAAAAAACCCACAACTTTCTAACTTTGAGCCCTTTACATAGACCATTAGCTAAGAATGTGTTGGACATCGGCATGTAACACCACACTCAGACGTAAACTCTGATGAGAAGTATCTGGAATGCTCCCAGAATCACAGCTCTGATTCCTGTAATTTGCTGTAATTATATGAAGCAACTCTTCCCTTGTAATGCAAGTCAGTAAATTTAAGATGAGAGCAAATCTTTTCATACTCCAACTCCAGTCGCAGCAGCAGCAGCTGTTTTGTCACGTGAGTAGACCCGCTAGAAATAAACTCTGGCACCAATGACAGCATCAATCTTTATGGAGGAAAACATGAAATTGCTTACAGCAAAAAGTCAGTCAAGCTAGAAAAATTCACTACTTGGAATCCTACACTATAAATAAATAAAATTATATGGAAGATGTAACCCACAAATAATCTAATAGAAACATAACTGTCTTGAGATAAGAATAATGTGGAAATGAGCACACCTTGGTAACGGTGAAAATGTGGATATAGAAATTCAACATTAAAACCACAAAGGTAATCTGCAGAAACATCACAAAGTGTTTCTGAAAGAGATGTAACAAAACTGATGGAAGTAATAGAAATAAAAAATGTGAAGAGAGGATTTCTTATCTTGATACAGGTATACTCAGGATAACAAAGAAAGTAATTAAGAGTAGCACCTAGACAGTGATTAGGAAAGCATTATTTTTTAATCAAAACGTGGTTCATTTTGTTGCCTAAAGACCAGGGAGAAAAAAACTCCAGACAAATTTAGTATAGATAAGGTAGAGAGCAGGTCTTTAATGAAGGCCTTGTGGCACAAGGAGTATAAAAGGTGCACGCGCCATGTCCAGTGGTTCTACAATTTTTCAGTACTAACCATCCAATCCCAGAATTATCTTCCCCCCAGCACACCTCCCCAGAACTGAGTCGGAGATCCCAAGACCCCTTTCTTCCTCATCTTCACCTTCTTCACCACAGGTACTGTCTTTGGAGCCAGGCTTGAAGGTTGCTTTGACTATGATGGTACCTCATTGTTCAGGCTTGGAGTGCAAATGTTCTTAAACAGAATGTATTTACTATAGTACTGCCTTGAAAGGAGCCTAAAGGAGGAGCCTAAAGAATTTAGAAAATTCGATACAAAATGGGGGCATAGGGTTTGGTAAGCGTTAACTACTGTTCTAAAGTGTGAGAGACTACACAATTATACTAAAAACCTGTATTTACTACACAGCTACTTTAAAACCTACAAAAAGCTAAAAATCCTAAAAATTCTGATGCATCAATTTAATCACAATCAGTGTATTTATGTCAAGGTAATGAATGACTAATGGACAAAAGACCTTACCAGCATCGCTGGGAACTACCAACTGCTACTTGGCCAAATGCAAAACACCCGGTAACTTTAACTGAGACAAGGTTTGTAGGGAAAGTTATTGCTTTGGGTTTAGAATAGCTGATGTTGTAGCTGAAAAAAAAAAATAAAGGCTGAGAAAAACAATCTAATAAGACCTCAGAAAAGGAGTTCAACAAGATTGTATCACATAATGTTTAGAGAGAGCTGTTTGCAAGGGTCCAGGTGATGCTGTTGCTGAGTGGAGGAGTGTGCCCAATTATTGCCTTTAAAACAGCATTCTTAGAGAGTATGTGGGTTTGTTTGTTTTGGTGGTTTTTTTGTAATTTTCTTTTTTTATTTCCCCCAGGTCCGTGGGCTTTTTTTTTTTTTTTTTTTTTGGTTTTGGGATAATTGTTTGGGGACTGGAAGGAAGGGTTGGTAGGTGTTTGTAAGACTAAACAAAAGGACAGAAGCAAAAATATGTAATGAGAAACTAAAATTGTGTGTTGCTCTGGCTTTGTGTGACACTGCTAAATAAGAGGGTCCATTGTGTTTAACTTGCTTTCATAACTTTAATGCTGAATCCTAAAGAAAATACTAATTTCTTTTTTTACATGATCTCGTGCCTCAAAAGGGGCTTGTCACGCTGCATCAAGAGCTGTGTTTGCAGGGCAACTTATTTGCTGAGAGGAACGCAACCACAACTTATAAGAATGTCTATTGACGGAATAAGAGAGTAACTTAAATGATATTTATTTACACTACTGACAAAACTGTACAGATGAGGCCAGCTGTTCTGAGAAACAAGAGTTACATAATGTCCCAAGGAGTGTGAAAGGATATATGCATTTACATCACAGACCACAGTTTCTGTCATGATCCAAGAGAATTTCCCAAGTTCGAAATCAGCTTGCCACACCACATCCAAGCTGTAACGAATAAAATCAAGAAGTCAGGAGTAGCTGTAAGAAAGAAGCGCAGCAGACATGAAACGCTGATTTATCAGGATTGAGAATACCATTTATTTTATCGTTCATTAGGTATCGCTTAGTGCTCAGTGTGGAGACACCGGCACATGGAAGATCCAGCATCCCTCAGTGCTCCGGCTGAGCTCAGCCACGCCGCTCCTCCGTTCACGGCCACAGAGCACCAGCTGCCCTCATCCACGGGATCTTGGAACAGGTCTTTTTTCACGCACTAAGTGCTCGAAAGCAAGTGTAACGCCGCGGCTTTTACAGTATTTTCATTTCAAGCTGCAACAGCCGGAGTCAGGAGCACTCCACGAGAAGCACGCTCCAGGGAGTGCGAGAAAGGCTCGTCCTGCCACTGCTGCAACAACAAACAGCTGCCGGAAACAAAACATGCAAGATTCGAGATTTTCATCCCCCTAGTCTCGATGTTCAGCGAACAGCCCCTTCGGCCGCCGCTGCGCCTTTAATCGCACGGCGCCTCCTCAGGCGCCGCTGGGAACGGGCGGGGCGGGGCCAGGCACGGCGCGCGCGCTGTGACGCCAGGCTGGGGACGCGCCAATGGGAGGCGGCGGCGGCGGCGTTTGAACGGCGCGCGCGGTTGGTGGCGCCGCTGCGGGGCCCCCCGGACCGAACCCACCCCCCCTTCCCGGCCTGCGGGACCGAGCCGGGCCGAACCGGGCCGAGCCGAGCCGGGCCGAGCCGAGCCGAGCCGAGCCGAGCCGGGCCGAGCCGAGCCGGGCCGAGCCGAGCCGAGCCGGGCCGAGCCGAGCCGGGCCGAGCCGGGCCGGGCCGAGCGGTGCGGGGACACCGAGAGCGGGGCGCGGCTGCGGGGCCTTGTGCGCGCCCTGCCGCCGCCGACCGTGGGCTCGGGCGGTCGGTGCGCGGAGCGACCCCCGCCTCCCCGAGCAGGTACGGCTCGGGGGTGTCGGGGCGCTCTGCCCGCGGGGTTAAGGGGAGCGGGTGGCTGGGAGAAACGCCCGTGGCTCGGGGTTCCTCGCGATGCCGGTGTTTAAAAGCCCTGGGCGCGGCCCTGTTCGCGGGCACAGAGCGTTTTGCAGTTCGGACAGTGCAGCGGCCGCCCTGCAGAAATCGCGGTGAAAGTGGGCCCAGCTGCGGGTCTCTCCCTAGCTGCGTGTCTCTGCTGTGTGTGAGTGTGTACATGTGTGTACCTCCGCTTAAAACTGCCGCAAGCTTTACTCGTGTGTTTCCGTCCCGTCCCTTTCTGCGTTGCGTGCCACCCCAGCTTCATGGGTTCTTCACCCTTTCTGTTTTTAAAGGTAGAAGATGACAGAATACTCGAGGAAGTCCTTCAAAGACAGCCTGAGAGACATAAAACACCGTATGAATGAGAAAAGAAATCAGAAATGGGCAAAGCTGGGTAAAACTACCCAGTTCTCCACCGTAAAGGCCAAACGAGCAAGTAAGATGCTTAAATATCTTAATATTTGTAATTTATTTGTTTTCTTTTAAAACCAGTTAAAAAGCTCACTATTCTGTTGCAGCCAACAGCTCCTCCAAAATGAAGATCATTCAAGCAAACAACAGAGATCTAGCTCTGTCTTTGCAAGAAGAAAAGCTCAAACTGAGGGAAGCCGAAGCTACCATTCTTCAGTTAAGGAAAGATTATCACAATTTGAGGGCTCAGATGGTTGACTTGCAGAGAATTCATAGGTTCCAGCAAGAACAAGGACTTGTGGAGGTATTTGAGTTGGTGAAGTTAAGCATCAGAATCTGAACCAGTCCACTGACAGATATATGACTCAGTATATGCAACAAGTTTTTTTTAAGTTTTTTTTAAAGGTGTGCTGGTTTGGACACCATGACACCTGGTAATTAACTTTGGTTTTTTCTTTTTTTGCTACTCTTTCTTATTTACTTAAAATCTATCTTATGTGAAAGTTACGGGGTTTTTTATCACATGTGAAGGCACCTGACAAAAGGATTCTTCTTTTAGTTACCTTGTAATGCCAATAAGAAGTTTGTAGTTGATACTAGAGTATGACAGTAACACTTACTGTCCTTCTTTTGTCCACTAGAATCGACTGTCAGCCTTGAATGAGATAATTTCCAAAGTCTTGCAGAATTTACTGGACTCAGCTGATCTCCTGGGCCCAGCAAAGAATTTGTGTTCCATAGACATAGTAAGTACCTTTTCCTCTTGAGGTGCAGTACTTCTGTTAATTATTCCACTCACTCCTTCCACCGTAGATGCACACAGTTTTGAGATTCAAGCCTTAGTTTAGAGGAAGGACTAGTCCTACAGTTCCCAGTATGCCACAGGGTGCATACTTTGGGGGTGTGTCATTACACTGTCTGTGGGACTGAGGCTCTGCTAGGAGGTGGTTGGGGCACCCTGATTTTCTGGGGTTTCGTGTCCACTCTCTGTAGGATTGGGCTGGTGACGTGTGTGCTGACGTGCAGAAGCTCAGTAGGTGAGATCCCACACCACTTGGTGTTAACCAGCCAGAAAAAGAAAGATCCAAGGGCCTCTTTGGTCCTTCCTAGGGTAACTTGGTTGTTGTCTAAAACCTGTAAATGGTGCAAGCTTGTTTTAGTTATTTAGTCACAGTAAGATTTATTTTGTTGACAGAATCAAAGAGTGCTTTCTTCAGGTCCTGGAAACAGTTGCAGCATCACAGGTTCAAGGTAAGTATCTTTTATCAATGCTATGTTTATGTTTGAAAACTCTGTTACAGTAAGTTTAATTTTCTGACTGGAAAAAGGGAAGAAACCCAATGTAATTATATTGCTCCTTGTCATAAAGTATATTGCTGTTCAGTAAATACTGCATTTGGTATTTTCTCTAGAGGGCCTCTGCAGCGTGCTCATGGAGGTGATCCTGTACTTCCGAGTAGGACAGAAGACTGCAGTGATAGAAATTCTTGGTCAAAGATGTGTGTGGAATCTGACAATGACATTTCCTTAACAAAAATAATTCCAAACAAAGGTAACTAAATCAAAGTATCAAACACTGCTCTGTTCTGAATTAGGAAAAAAACATGTGAGTAATTAGGAAAAAAACGTGCTGTTTTTGAAGGAACTGACAGGTAACTTTCTACTTACTGTCATAAGGGGGAGATATTATTGCTGGCAACTGGTAAAATGTTTGAATGAAGATGCTCAGCAAAATCGAGAGGAATTTGAAACTCTTTTCTCTTCTCTATATCTGCAGTCCAGTTTCATTAACTACCAAACAGTTCAACCAAATAAAATCACTTTTAGATATGCATTAGCATTTATGAAATCAATAAAAACTTGTTAAAAAAGCAAAATACTTGGGGAAAAAATGATCTGTAGATAACCTTTTCAAAAGGAACAGTTTAGAGGAAAATACTAATGTTGCATACCTAATTTCTTTCTGCGTGGCAGCTATATAAAACTTGATTTCCAAATCCTAGTCTATACAAATCTTTGGAGAAAACCCAAAGAATAGTCTGAATTTTTGACAGTTTTGAAATTTCTTGCACAAAACCTTAACATGGTGTTACTGTTTAGTTTTAATGTGATATTTTCTCTTTGATTATAAGGACGGACTTTTGATATTCATCTGGACAACATGGAGTCAGAACTGGAAAACATTTCTTCAGGTGAAAAGGCTGGACTTGGTAAAGTGTTACCAAAAAATGTGTCCACCAGGCGTTGCTTTTCAAAGATGAAAAACCTCAATGTAGTTTGCACTGGTGTCTTGGACCACTCAGAAGCACCTGATTCAATAGAAGAACTTTCTGAAGAGAAAGAAATTAGGCTTGAGGAAAGTCTAGAGGAGTGTGCTACAGAAAATGCAAATGCTGAAAGTCTACAGGAGTGTGCTACAGAAAATGCAAATGCCGAAAGTCTACAGGAGTGTGCTACAGAAAATGCAAATGCCGAAAGTCTACAGGAGTGTGCTACAGAAAATGCAAATGCCGAAAGTCTACAGGAGTGTGCTACAGAAAATGCAAATGCTGAAAGTCTACAGGAGTGTGCTACAGAAAATGCAAATGCCGAAAGTCTACAGGAGTGTGCTACAGAAAATGCAAATGCTGAAAGTCTACAGGAGTGTGCTACAGAAAATGTAAATGCTGAAAGTCTACAGGAGTGTGCTACAGAAAATGTAAATGCAGCTATTTCTCACTTGAATGAAGGCAAGGTAGATTCAGAACAGGTGTTGAGACCGAGAAAGTCTGAAACTGCACAGTTCAACTTAAAACATAATTTTGTTTTTAAACAACCTGAGTGTAAAAGCAGAGAAAACTCTCAAGGAAGGAAAAAGAAGTGCCAGAAGGGAGTATTGAAACAGCCTAAAAATACTTCCAAAAAAGGACCAGGAAAACGGGATAAAGAGGCTTCCAAAAAAAAGCTGAATTTCTTGGGCGGCATCAGTGATGCTTATGACTTCCATTTGGAAGAGAGTGTCCACGTTACACCTTTTCGACAAAACAAGGTGAATGACAAAGATACTGCTGTGGATGACACACAAGGCTCAGAGAAAACTGATTCCATCGAGTTGAGCGATACTGAAGATGATTTAGATGACAGTCTCTATGAGCCTTACAAGAGTAAATCGAAGAAAACGCTAAGTTCAGTAGACGATGATGCTACATCGCCAATCCGTCCAAGGCCAAGGTCTAAAAGATGTTGGGCACAGCGTGAGCAGAAACTCTGTCATGAAGAAGAGACTGAAAACAACAAATCAAGTGACAAGTCTATTGGTAAGTGCAGCAAGTGTTCTGGAATTGGCTCTGTTTCCCTGGAAGATAACATTGTTTAAGGGGTTAAGGCTTTTATATTTTAGGGTGTTTATTCAATAACAAAAATCAGAATAATGTTACAACAATGGTGAGATTTGGTCTTCTGTCTGCCTTTTATTTTCACTTGGCAGATATTAGAATTAAAGTATGTTTTTAAGAAAATTGGCCAGTAAATTAATATTGCGCTATAACTATCTTATTGATACATTAAAGCTGGAAAAAAAAGTAAGCAAGATATAAATTGAGAGAGAAGTGGAATAACACATGACACTTTGCCAGGCCCTGCTCAGTGTTAGCTATTTTTCTAAATTAAAATCCTGAATATTATATCCGCTTAGGGATTTTAAAGTGCAAAAACGGAGATGATAGTTACAGCTGAGAGTTAGCTCACATCTTGTACGTTCACTGACATTTTCTTTTAAGCTGACTTGCCTGAATGATCTGGAGTGTGCCTAATCTCTTCACAGGGCAGCCTTCTGAGCCACCTCGTGGGCATCTCTGTGATGTTACCAATACCACTGCATTGCTCCCCAGCACTGGGGATCCAGCACCTGTCCCAGAAGGGGAAGGGCCACGGTCTCCAAAATGCAAGCGAAGCTGTACTACTATCGTGAGCTATAAAGAACCAAGTATTGCAGGGTAGGTGTCTTTACTTTCCAGTTTAAAATAAAGTTCATAATATTGCATCCACTGGAGGATTTGAGAGGCTTATTTAAATCTTGAAAACAAGTCCTTAACAAAAGAGCATATTCAAAGAGATCTGGACTTAATAATACAGCCTAGTTCATGTGGAAGGGAATGTACTAGCTAAAAGTTATTGCTTTAAGTGATGTAGGGAACAGAACTCAGCTTTTGCCTTTGTGTTTTTTTCGTTTTTTTCCTATGTCCTAAGCAGGAAGCTCAGGAGAGGCGATCCATTTACAGATACAAAGTTCCTGACATCTCCAGTTTTCAAGATGAAGAAAAGATGCTAAATGATGTTCTCCTAAGAATGAATCTCTGAAAAAAGACAATTTCTCTGAGAAATTGGTTACCTGTCATTGAGATTTTCAGCAAAACCATGCTCATGCCATGAAGAAAAGAAATCTTAAATCCAAATTGCTGTTGCGCAATACCTCATTTAAGTATGTGAATATTTGTGTATCTAATATTAAGGGTATCAGATTAAGGGGGTATCAGTTTGATATGGTGACTTGTTTTTAATGATGCGGATTGATTACTTGTATAACTGAAATTATTACATTCAAGCTCCTTTTGACTGGATCTGGGAGTATATGAAAAATCTGATGGATAAGACGCTGAATGTCATTTTATGACCTGTAGTCAGTAAGGTTGAACTTTAGGCACTTGAGATGTTTTGGGCAGGGAGTCTTTTTAATAACAGTTTTTGTACAGATGTTGTCTATGTAGTGGTTGTAGTTTCATATTCAATCTCATAATAAACGTCTTAGTGTTTGGAAGCAGCTCACAGGGGGTTGGTGTTTTCTTTTGCAGTTTCCGTATGTGCTCCAAGGGCAGTAATGTCAGCAATGGGCGTTGGAGACATTGTCAGCTGTAGTTTGATTCTGTAGCTGCAGCTTTCAAAAGCAGCAATTTAGGCTTGGTTGGGTCCTGCTCTGAGCGCAAGCTAGAATCAACCAGACAGAAACAAAGCAAATTTCTCCATGAAGGTTGGTGAAGAGGGCTCTGCTTTGGTGGAATGTAAAGCAAACTATTAGTCTCAGCTGTTCTGGGACTATCATAATAATTTAATAATTTGTAATAATTTTGTCCCTGCTTTGCCAAGTGCCTTTTGCAGAAGAAGAGCCACCCCATACGAGCTGGTGCTATTTGGTGCCACAACAGGTTGCATGTGAGCACACTGTTATCAACTGTCCAGCACACAAACTGCTCTTCATCTACTTGAGAAACATTTAACACTTAACTGATACATGAATTCCCTAATGAAAGCTACATTCTAAATAAATAATGGGAAAGGACAGAAATACAGGCTCTTCATTTACCTTGCAAGTGTCTGTCTCACCTGTCCCACCTAAACCAAGATCTCTCCCTTTCTGTAATAAAAATCAATAGTGTTAATTACTGTTTTACTTGTAACTTCTTACATGCTTCTCTCAACAGTAGTAATACTAGCTGCAGCTACTGAGTGTTTGAAAACAGTTGTTCAGAACATAGCCTTTGGATGTTGGTACTGAAACTTTACCTTTGTATCCTAAAGTTCTTGCCCTGGGCCCTACCATCTTCTGTCTGGAATTCTAATACTAGAGGAACTTAAATAGAATGATTGAACTTCAGGTGCTCTTTCTGCAAACAAATCTGTAACAGCTCTTTACCAGGGACAGTAGAAAACCAGCATGACTGTAGAGCAGACTGAGGCAGGTGTAGTGGATCTGGGTTGGTTTTGTTTGTTTGTTTTTTAAATTGGACTGAGTGAGTTTGAAGAGTTGAAGGGATGAAACTGTGGGGAAGGAATCAGTCCAGATTACCTAATCTCAACTGCTTTCTCTAGAAGTGTTCAGGAAAACAGATGAGTCTCTTTTGACCACCCTCTGAACAGTGCACTTTTACATCATGTGACACAGGACCAAAGTTTGAGTGGATGGGAAACTAAAAAACCTCTTCCTATTCTCTAATAACCTGTCAGTTATCAGACAGGTGCAAGGTTTATTTATGGCATGCAAAGTTAGTGACCATCCCAGTAACATCATGGTGACAGTAAAAGCTTAAGCTACATATATTGTGTCTTCTGAGTAAAGGGCTCTCATAGGCAGTTATAAGCAAATGGTATAAGCATGGTCTGAGGTGAAAAAAAATCAAAACTTTGGAACAGCTAAGTCAAGGAAGTGTTGGAAGTGTTGAGGAGATGGGAATAACAACATGGAGCTGGGAATGGTTCTTGGCCTGGTCACAGCTCCATTTATCCTGACAGCACTCTTACAGATCCATTGTGAAATTGCTCCCTTGTGAAATTGCTTCACTGTGTACATTTGTACCACAAGTACTCGTTAATGAAAAAAAGAGACCAAAATAAGTAGGGTTTTGTACATATATAATTTAAAACTATTTTGTACCAGTACAATATATTAATTTGACAAATGTAAAGTTCAGCAGCTGTTAAAGCATTTGCAAAACCACATATTCTACCATAACTTTATTGCACAGTATCTAAGAAAATATTAATTCTTAAATTAGAAAACACATGTTTCAATATAGAAGAGACAATCTGATTGAGAGACAATAAGAAAATCTACTCTGAAAATAAAAAAAATTCACAGGATAACAAGCTTAACAGGTGCATCTGTAGGCCCAATCTACAAAACAGGTTTATAGTGTCCTGTTCTGGCTATTAAAAAAAAAAGTACTCACTGTACCTTCATTATAGAGCTCAATGTAGGTCAGACTAATGTCATACAAAACAGAATGGCAAGTCCAGCGTTAACATTTTGAATACCTTGGGTACCACATTTACTACTACCAGGTAGTTCCTGACAACTACTTGCTGAATTGACTTGTGATCTAACACTGCACAGGCTTTTTGCAGGAATAGACTCTTTGACACAGCACAGGATTTTTCAGTCTTTTAACTATTGAATTTTACCAGTGTAACATCTGTAAATATAAAACATCAAGAATGGAAGTTAAATCTGTTTTTCACAAAAGCAATTCTAATTTACAGTTACAAACTCCAATTAGAAAATGTAAGGGACAGGTTTTTGACCTGTACTGATCTCCATTAAGGAGTTAGGTGTACCCCTTAAACGTAGTGTAAGCAGCAAAATACATATATATATACATATATATATATGTGTACTCTATTTGAAGATATACTAACATGAGTTGTAAAATGCTAGTATGTTCCTGGGTCTAAATAAGTACAGTTAATAAGCATTTACAATAAAGCTTGGTAGAAAATCCAGTTTATCATGGAGCCAAGTATCTAAGCTCAAAGCTGTCCTATGTTGACTTCTTTTGTGTACAATAGTCTTATCTCTGCTGAATAATCTAAAGAATTTAAGAGTGAAGAGTAGTAAGTAGGGTGGATAACGAAGTGCATCAAAACCTTAACTCTACTAAACCAACTGAAATTGTCTAGTAGATGAGAAGTAGTCTTTAAAGTTATTTTGGGTACTTATGTCCTGCATAAGCCAGGTCACTATGACATTAGACATCTAGCCAGATTGGGTTGTTTTTAAAAGAGTGGTTATGAGATTACAATTTGCAGGTAAAATATTTATCAAAACTGAAAACTAATAGAAAAACTTGCATCTATCAAAGGTTACAGGCAGTCTTTTCTCAGAACTGACTGTTCTCTCACAGCTTTTCAACCAGCTGTTTCTTTTAAAAAATAATATCTTATAAAAAGATTCTACAAAGAAACAAGTGTTTCAGACCCCCCCCAACTGTTGTTTTCCCTTACAATTTTCTTTTTTACTGGAAAAAAATAATAAAACTATATCAAATAGGTACTGCATTAGGTAAGCTATAACATCTGTTGTCTGGGAATTTTCTTCATCTTCCCAAACATGTGCAACTTCCCCCATGTTTGTGGGGTTTCTGAGGCTGTAGCTGATAAACGTATTAGGAACACACGGTAATCGGCACACAAAAGAAATTTTCCGTAATTAAATACATTATAAAGCATTTTAATAAAATAATTTCTGTAACTTCAGTATAATACATGTTTTCAAAACTAAAAGGGTTTTTAAAAGTGCTAAGTATTAAACAGAAGTTTCTTGAAAGTCCCACAACTCATATATAGAACGGCTTCCCCTGCCCATAACGTAGGCACACTATTTGGTTGTAAAAAAGACAGTGTCATTTGTCAATTAATCCAGCTTCTTTAATTTTTGTGTAGAAGAATTTCTCCAGTATATTGGCACATTTGTAGTATTCACTCTCGGGGGGGTTGTACTCTCTGCAGTTTGTAAAGACTCGCTGCAAGTCTGCCATGAATAATTTCTTAGACACGTAGTACCTGTTCTTGAGTCGCTCACTCATTGTTTTGAGATCTGTACAGAACAAAAACAGATTAACAGTGTTTGATTCAAATACTTTTTGTATGCAATATCCCTTTAGACTGATTTGCCATTTTACATGAACTGGCAAAGCTAGGATTTGGAATGGAAATTGCCTTCATCTAAGGCATGGTCCATTTTTTAGTTTCAAAAGCAGCTGAGCCACTGGAACTAAGCAATATTTCACTGTAAGGATGAATTTATGTAGACTTTATTTTTTCTTCTTTAAAACATTAAAGCATTTTTTTTTCTGTTCTCAGAGCTCTGAGTTTTCCATGGGTATTAGGTGTCCCTGATGCTCTTCTAACTGCTCTGTGAGGCAAACTGTTGGCAGCTCTGCTGGAGGAGGCCTCAGGAACATAGGCAAAGAATTACAACATCACAAAACACATATGTTAACCTAAAGTCCTCGCTGCTGTGCAATCACAGCAGAGACATTGGTTTATAGTACAAGCAGTACTTGCAGCTTTGAAAAAAAAAGATTGTTTGTTCTACACTCTACATATATTTTTACCTCTTAAGAGTTTATAGTTATGTATTCTTTTCATGAGTCATGTGAGAACCAATCTCTTCTGTTTTCAGAGCATCATGCAAAACATTTACTTACAGAACATTGTTTAAGTGTTCTCCTTTATACGAAAATCAGTCATCCATAAAATATGTAAATCATCTCAGTGTTCTCCATACAGTTGCTTTACCAGGCATTCTCATCAGGCATTTAAAAATTCTGTCTACATTACAAGTGTTCTAGGAGTGAGTACAGGAATAGAAGTAGTGGGAGGTGTGCTGGATGCCTTGGCTTTTCTCACCTCAGGTTCTCTAACAACTATTTTATTTAGCAATGCTTGAGCCAGGCTTCAGCAGCACCTTTGTGAAACTGTAACAGAAGCAGCTGAAATGGGTCAACAAGTATTGCAAGGACAGCAGAGACCAAAGACTTCCAATGCAAAGGAATCAAACTTTTTATCATTGGATTTAAAAATATTGGTGTTTTTTTTGGTATATTTTGGGGGGCTTCGGTGGTAGTTTTTGGATTGTTTTTAAGGGAAATTTGAATTTGTTAAAGGAGAGGAAAACCCATCAAATTGACAAGATGGGATTATTTAAGAAAAGTTTGATGGATGCTCTCAAATACCTTTTCCAATGATACACAACTTGCCATTCAATAGTTTTACACAATATTTTGCAAAAGTAAAGGCTCATTCAGCTCCCATTAAGTCTGAAATTCAGGTGCCTACACCTAAATTGGATATCCAGAGTCTAATTACACTACCCAGCTGAGAAGACTGTTCAGCTCACCCTAAAGCAAACGTTGCCTAGCTGGTGATTTAAGTAAGATGTTCTCTTCTAACTACAATGAAAGTTTGGTTTCATCTGTCACTCAGCCATACAACTTTTGTATGGCAGATGAAAAGAAAGAAAACCCCAAAGTATTGC